TTTTCAAGTTTATTACAGGACATATGATATACGTATGAAAAAAACAAAACGGAGGCAAGTGAAAAAAATAAATGTGAAAAACAAATGTCTTTGATGATGAAGACAACAAAGACCATTGATGTATATTTGAATTACACTTCTCCTTCATCTTCTTGTTCTCATTATATTATTACTGTTATTGTAGGATAGATTGATTCAATTCCACTTTAAACTGACCAACTTAATTTTAAATGCTAAGAAATTAAAGCTATTTAATAATTGATACCAGCAACACAAAATTGAACCCAAACAAGTTCCCTGCTTGGTCACAATGTCTTTTAACTCATATTACAAGTATAATATGTCACCTTTTTCTTTTCACTGTATTGCTGTATAAAACTTGGTCTGCTCATTTGTCCTTAGCAATGGACATGAAGTGCAGCATGAGGCCTGGTACTGATTTTAAAAAAGGTTGTTTTAAATGGAGCTTATGACTTTCTATAACCTCAATCTAAGACATTCATTGATGAAACATTTAGAACATATGAATAATTTCTATGTCATAAATGTTATATTCATATTTTACATTTTTAGCACTCTACAAGTCTCATTCATCTTTTGCCAATATGTTGTTGTGGTATACAATGCAGTATCATCTAACATCACAGCCGTACATTTTTTTTAACCTAGATGGACTAAAATGAACCAGCTTAATCTAATTATTTAAATTAGAGTTTAATAACAATTTTATTTTACCAAAAGAAATGAAATCACACAAATCAAAATGTATATATATTTGAATAATGTCTTGTTTAACCAATTGAAAAGTTATTACTTATTAAAAACCTGCTCAAAACTGGGGCTCTAAAATGTTCCTGCAATTTTGTTTTTCTAGCTTCAGGTAAACTTTGTATTACTAGCTGTGTTATCAAAGAACAGATCGAGATATGATTTCAGCTACATATTTTATTTTTGCAAAAGGTAGAAAACAGAATTAAATATATATAAACAGTGTTTTTCTAGGTTTTTTTTTCTTCTGCCTTCTTCAGAACTGAAGGAAGAAGGTGGAAGATCCCCCCCCCAAACTTGTATTTATGCAAATTTTCTTGTCTGAAAAAGAACGAAATAACTGAATCCAAAATATGTAGACAAAATGAAAAACTTTTACAACAAGACAAATAAATCACTTTCTTATGCTTTGAAACACAGGCCAAGTACTCAAGCAGATGTTATAATCACTTTTAATAATTATAAAAAAAATATTTCTTTTGAACCAAAGTATTTCATACTTTTATGTTAGTTAAAACGACGATGATAGCGTTGATGCTGGGTCTCCTCCACTTTCATTTAACAATCACACTACTATGTTTTCATTTTGTATCTTTGACTGAGTGGTTGTGGTTTTTGTACAACAAAGTCCAACAAGTTTTGGATCTTGAGCATTTAATTCAGATGTTCCACTGTGGTCACTATGCACTCCTGCATCGTGGCAGAAGTCCAAACTCTTTCTCATCAGCTTCTCGGGCTTGTGAGACGTGAGGAGAGGAAACTGGCAAAAGTCATCAGCACAGGAGATGTTACCTGTAAAGAGCCACAGCTCACATGAATCTGGGGAGGTGTCAGACATGGGCACTGTGGAGACTAAATTGGTTTATCCATTGAATTTCACTTGCCCTCCACCTTAGTGACGCTTCAAAATTTTCAGGCAAACCGATAAGGAAGAAAAAATGATTAGTGCAGCCATGAAACAGCAAAGCCCTGAAACATAAGCCTCAAGATGGAGTTGGATTGTTGTGTTTGTCTTAGTTCATATAAATGTATTCCATCAGCATGGTGCCCTGGGGTGAAGGAGTCAATCTCCGGTGCTTAATGATAGTCTGTCTAAGTGGAGTGTACATCCTTCCTCCACTACACGTGACAGAGCCTTGAAGAACAATGAGTAGCATACATGATGAATAATAGAAGAAATATTTTACAACACATTTTTAGACCAAATGAGTTGAAAACTGTGTTTGTTTTCTTTTTAATTTGGGGCACATTTTGGAGCTAACTTTAAGATATTTTTAACAGGTCTATTTGCTGTTGTCTGCTATATTTTAGAGTTACTATAAATATGGTTGTATGCAGTCTTTTGGTTTGTGTGAATATAACATGTTCATCTTGGTCTGCTGTAAAATAACTAAAGATTAAAATAAAGAAAATAGTACATAAAACATCTCAGGGAGACACCTCTACTCCCAATATCATTCTGTCTTAAGGCAGGAATGGTTTGTGTGTGTGTGTATGTGTGTGCATCTGTGGCAGAAAATGTAGCTGGAAGAGACACCACAAGTTCCCCTATGATCACCGAAGCATAGCATCACACTTTCACCCTTAGACCCTCAATAACAAGACGGCCCAGGCTTCACTCACTCTCTCCCGGCCGTCCTTAGGTTTAAATCTCCTGCTGCCTGGGGTAGCCCCTGTGGTAACAGAAGCAATCACATGTCAGTAATGTGAGGTATTTCCACACATCTGTGAAGTGTTCTCTCAGAGATCATGTAAGAAAGATGATGAGGTTACATAAATGTGTGTAAACAACAGGGAAACTAAGTGTTTGGGCCACATGTCTAAAAGCATTCCTATTCATTAAACAACTCATAGCGGGTAATTGTATACACACCTCACCTGCATATACCATTGTTGGAAAACAACCTATTATTTTACCAAAAGTATTTGTAGAAAGAAGAAAGAACACCAAACAGATTATAGAGTGAAAAACCTGTTTTCTCTCAACAACCGGCAACAACTGTTCAGATCAAACCACTTCAAACCCCTTCACATGATTTGCTTTTCTTTCTTTTTTTTAAAAATTTGCCTTCAAGTTGAGAGAATGTGACAGAAAGTAGGTGCGTGAGAAAACAGAAATCAGAACGACAAGCAGGAAGCTGTGTTAGTTCATCAAGATTTTCTCCTTTTTATTATACACATTTTGTGACTTTTTTCCCCCTTCAGTGCCTTGAAACACTAGAAACAACTTTTCCAAAGATGCTGAAATCTCAGTAAATAGAAGAACTGTATTACAGGTCTGTCTGATGGGTAGTGATTTTTTTATAGCGTAAAAAGACAAACATAAAATAGATCAGACAGTTCGAAGTTTAATGCTGAAAGGCAGGCAGTTGACTTTCAGCTAAAATACATACGTGTACTATTTACATGTTTTTTTTTCCAACAGCACCTTTAACAACTCTGACATCAATACACACATTGGACACAACATTTAATACTTGTGCCAGACATTGGCCACTAACAGTTTGGTCACAGTAGTTTCATGTCAGACTGGTTCTACTTTAACTACTGAAGAAGCTTATCTGTCGTTTCTAAACCTGTAAGCTGAGTTGTATATCTTTGCATCAGTTAAATTGTTTTTTCTTTTGACTACTCGGTTACATCACAAACCATGAAAGGACTATGCTGCATCTACTCTGGACAGTTTCAGAAGAAGAAAAACTGTAATAATTTACAGGAATGTCAGACAGGTTTCCTTGCAAAATCTTTGGCTGTGAAAATGAAAAACCACATTTTGATCGATGACATTGAAATGTAACAGCCAAACAACATATAGCATACGAAAAGAAGCCATTGCAGCTCTGACCCAGTGATTTAAATCTGAGTAAATCAGTAGAACCATCTCATCATAGAGGCCTCTTCAGTTCTGGTAGTCTATGATAAAACCCAGGTTTTTTAAAAAAAATTCTAATGGTCTTTTTTTGAGCTCCTCCACATTAACACCTATATTTAAATTTAACCTATGGTATAGTCCAACTTCTACTGACTGACCAAAAGTTTGAAAAAAACAAATCTATTTTACGTGACCTGTAGACAGCCATAAACTTCTCATCCAACAAATAAACCATCTCGCATCAATCAATGCTGCCGCCTTCTGACTATGTTAGCAAAGTCATGACTCTGGACAAACGTGAAGCAGTGGCCAACTAAAAACCTCTAATGTTCTTACTGTAATGTATGCTTTGAAGAAGTATGTGTGTGAAACTGCAGAAGAAGTTTCACTGGGATTATTATGGAAACAATGTTCAACTCCCCTAGATTCTGGCAGAGCACTTAATAATAATGCTGTCACTGTGAACCTGTCAGTCTGAACTTTACAACAATTTTTACTGTTTAAAACTAATGTGCTCAAAGGAAACTAACTACTCCTTACAAATACTGCGGTTATTCATCCACGGTAACTTTGCAAATGGCAGAAAACAAGGACATTAAATATCTGTGACCTAAATGTGACTCTAATGTGACACACATTAGGCAATATAGTAATGACCCCTCAGGTGCCTCCCTCCCCCTTTGTTCGTTAGCTCTGGGCCACCAGCTGCAACCTTGTTGGGAAAAAAAAGGTCTAAACTCAGGTGACATCCAGGTAACAAACAAATGTTGCATATCTGCAAAAAAAAAGAAAAAAAGGCCAACTTGGTCAAAAATATTTGGAATGCATTTGCCGATTTTATACGTTTGCCACTTTAGGTTTACATCCATTTTGTCTGGACAAGATAATAACAAGCAGTGTTGCATCTTTGCCATGGTCAGCTATCAACAAATTAATAAAATTTCTCTGGATGTCACCTCTCTAGGTAATCCTGACTGCCAAAGATTATTTACTGGAAACAATTTAAAAAATGACACACTGCTAGTCACAAAAAATGTCTTTGTTTTAACATCTTTGAAAGTGTACACAAATAATTCTAAGGCTATCCTAAAGAGATATGATAATATGTTGTTCTAACCAACAGAAGGAAACACTTTTTTAAGATCAAAATGACAATCATTAAAATAATGTAGACAAATACTGCAACCTAGAATGCATTGCACCGGTCCTTTGGTGAGATAAACATAAATAAGACATTAAGTTACATATACAGTAACGAGTGAACAAGAACAAGGTAAAAATACTAAAAAAAAAAAAAAATTTTAAATCTAATACCAAAGTTAGGAAAAACGCACATGTTCTTTTTTTCTTGTACATAATGTAATGATCATACAATTTAACTGTCTCTCAGTATTCCTTGATACATGCACTTTTTTACTACCTCTTCACTCACTCACTCACTCACTCACTCACTCACTCACTCTTACATTCACTCACTTTCTCACTCACTCGCCCACATCTTCAACTGTTTCCACCAAGTGCTACAGTTCAGTCGTTGTGCAATAAGGAAATAACATCTGGTCCAACGTGTTTTTAATTTCAACCAGTCATGCTACATGACATTTGAGGCATTGGTGGATTCCAAATCATGTTTGACTCACATGTGTAATTGGAACAAAGGGGCTGATGTTTTAGGTCTCTTGAACATTATTCTAATCAATTTAACCAAAATAGCTGCAATAGTGGTAATTTAATTTAGGATATATAGTTCAACGTAAATTAATATTACTATAGTAGAATTATAGTACAAAGAGGTAGAGTGGTACAGCATACATGGATGACTCATTGAAAATTGTTTATTTTTGGAATTGTTGTTTCATGTATTTTAGCTAATGTTTTAGCCATTAGCCTGGGTTAGCTTGTGGAACAGCGCAACCACTTAGCAATGTCGTTTTGAGAGCAAGCCTTTGAGTCATACATGAACCTGAGGCCTCATGTAACAAGACCTTTGTCGGAGACACTTTATTATATTATGAAATATCAAAGGATAATCAATTGGCCTTGAAGTATTTTTTACTTTAGTAAACGTGGACTTGATTCAGAACAGTCTTTTAACCGAAAAAGAACTATCAGGTCCTGGGTGACTTGCAGCTAAATCAATTTTAAATTAATAGCTGATTTGTCAAAAAATATGACTTTTTAAACGATCTGCACTATCTCTTTGCTCCAGTTTAAACAATTAGGTTTCTGATCCCAAAAAATAGTTACATCTAGGGCAACTGGAAACAAACCCTATTCTAAGGAAGGCAGAATGTAAAGTCACAACTTTAGATTCCGCCTTTATGTTTCTGGTTCTGTAGAAACGTGACCTGTAGAATGTCTGTTGGCCAATAAACCTACAGGATGAAACAACAACTACATGGAAAAGACACACAGATGTATATTAAAACAAACTGCACCACTTGATAGAAACTGGGCTTTACACAGGTAGGGGTGACTAAGCCCTTCAGTGTCTTTATCACAGTTTTATACTCCTCCGCCCCTCCTGGCTCTGTTTTTACAGGAAACTACTCTGCCCACCTTTACTGTAGCTTGTCACTGTTTTTTTTCTAAGACCAATGGCATGAATACCATTATGTTCACCTCATGCTACACGCACAAATAAAACATTACTGATAGAACTTCTAAATACATATATATATACATCTCTGACTGAGATGAGACTGATGTCACACACATGGATCTTTAAAGTATAGGAGGTTTGATGGATTAGCTCAAAGGATAGCGATGTTAGTAAAACCACACCCTCACACAAGAGATCACACCAGAATGTGGTACGTAAGAGCAGGGTTCCCCAAAGTGTAGCTGCCTCCCACTAGTGGGCTTTCAAGGAAATGCAAGTTGTCAACAGGATAGTTTTTTAAATAGGTTTTAATTAACTATTGAGGGCTAGTTTTAGGGAGGTGGGCCAAATGTTAATAAATCACAATATATAATTGTACTGCAGTTTAACGTGTCACACTACACACGACATTTGTATGATTTAAGTTTTGGGGGTGCCATAGATTTTATATAAAAATGACACCTAGCCATCGTATATCAAAGAGCTTAGCTGGCTATTTATATAAGTAAGTATTTTGTTGCCTTAATGACTAGCTTCTCTTCAATTAAAGTTTTGCTTTTTTTGCTTTTTAATAAAAGACAAATTTTCCATGTTTGTGGGGGGTATTTATGAACAGCTTTTGTATTTCCCTCATCTCAGGCCCAAAGAAATGAAGCTTATGTTTGCAACATGATAGCTATGCCCATTTCTTCATATGTGATCTATGTATTTGCTCAAGTTTTAGCATTTCTCATGGCAACTGCACCTTTGGGAATAGCTGCATCATTAAAAAAAACTTTTTACTGAAACACAGAGAAAGCACTTCACTGTGTTTGTGTGTGCATGAGAGAGAGAGAGAGAGATGGAGCTAGCATTGCATGGGTGGTGCTGAGAAATAGCAAGCATAAACAAAGTGGTGATGCGAAGAAAGGGTAGTGACTGTATCAGTCAGTAGAGTTTAAACAGGTCCATTAGGGGTCTCCCTGTGACGCCACACACCCAACTGATGAGCGGCGGTACGTCACTCTCCTCTTTGATGCCCAAATGAAGTTTTACATAAGCCATGATCTCCGATATGTAGCCAACAGAGCTGAGATCAGTGTCTAGGGGCAACTTCATCTAAAGTTTAGATAATGTTGCCCCTAGTGGTGTATATGGGAAAAGTATAATCCTTTAGATTCTAAAGGATTATACTTTTTCCAGTCAAGAGGGATCTACACCATAGAACACTTTGAACATGTAGAGGGCACAAGCTACTCTTACTCCTGGATACAGGGTAACTAGCATTCATCTATTGTGAGGCAGATAAATTCCTGGATGCATTTCTTATACTGCTGCTCAGTGGGGCTGCTGCTGGGGTATTGACCTGGTTGACCAAGCGGAGGCTCTGCCTCGCGCATCTCCTCGTTCATCCGAGCCAGACGCAGTCTGTAGAAAAGAAGCAAGAAGAGGAGAGTGAAATAAATTCAAACAAAAACAAAGAAACTATTTTGTTGTGAAAGTAGAAGAAGAAAAGTCAAAGTATTCACAATGTGACAATGTCGGCATTTGCAGCCTGCACGGCAATACTGAGGGGGTCGTGACCCTGCTCGTCCACCTCTGTCTGTGACGCTCCTCTCTTCAAGAACAGACATACCTGACTGTTGGGAAAATGAAGACAGAGCACAATGAGGAATTGATCCAGCACAAGAAAAACAAACAGATAAAGAGGAACTGCCGCTGACTGTGGAACAATGATGACATACAGTGCAAATCAAAAGGAGTTTATACTGGAAAAATACACGTCACAGTACTAAGTGTATTAACACAAACTACCTGCCAATTCTGGTCTGTTTCCACACTTCACTGTAACGTACCACAAGTTGCAACATGTCCTGAGGGCTGAAGAGATATCATTCCTCTTACTGTTTTTCCTCTGACTCACCCAGTGTGTCCCAGGTAGGTAGCATGGTGCAGCGGGCCTCGGCCCCTCATGTCTCTCTGATTCACATCAGCTCCGTTTTGTAGTAGGAACTCACAAGCTATCAGAGAACCCTGACAAAGATCAGACAGATCAGGATTTCAGCCTGATTGACTAACAAAAAACCCAAAACAATAGTACAAACCTCACTTACAGAAAAGGTGTTAGTTTATCCGAAATTTGCGGCCAAAAAAAAAATAAACACAACATCTCACCCCCATGACAGCCTGTATGAGCGGCGTTTTTCCCTCTTCTTCCTCACTGGCTGCATGAACATCAGCACCGTGCGCTATTGCCTCGGCCATGAGCAGCAGATTGTGCAGACGTGACGAGCGGTAGAGGAGCGCCCCTGGGTGCAGCTCCCTCGGATCCTCTAGGTCTGAAGACGTTTCCTGTTCAATCTCCACCTCACCACTGGACGACTCCTCCGACTCTTCCTCTGTAAATGAGGTAAAGTAAGTCATTTTTTAAAAAAATCAGGGATTGAATGCAGAACACTTTGGTGTTATAAAAACTACAACAACAGCATCGTTCATTCTGACATGCATTCTCACTGAAAATGACACTGTCCAATTTTCATCTGTATCCCTGCAGATTAAACAGCTCCACATCTATGATCTCAATCACTTGTTCCACCATCTCCCACTTCTGCTCTAACAGATAATCTTGTGACTATACCGTTTTATGAAGTGTTAGCTAATGTTGATTAAACCAGTTTGAGATCATTTCCAACTTTTCATGCTGGAAACGCTGTGGTAATATGCTTACTTAGCCTTTAGCTCACACACTAAACGCACTAACTCACACACCTTCTTCTGTGACGCTGTCCACCACCGAGCCAAACACCAGGATGTCAGTGCTGCCGTCTGTGCTTCCACCAAGGCCGCTGTCACTGCTCAGACCTGCAGGGCCAATCACAGCCAAGCCACGGACACGTTAATCATTATACATCGCACAGAGTGGATTAGACACACATGTTCAGTGGAGAGTGGTACGCTCTATGACCGGGGTTAAAAATGCAGGCTGGGATCTTACAGTCTACAATGATGACTTACTGCGAGGACCAGAGCCGGTGTCAAAATAGGAAAAGAGTGAGTCGAGTTCATCTGGACAGAACAGAGAATCCCGGCGAAACTTTGCTGCAGCTGCTGCAGAACAAACAAAAGAGATTTTAGTCTTTTAGTTTGTGTTTTGTTACATGACCTGATATCTGTTATAACTATCTTTACTGTCTCTCTGAGAACTGGCCTTTAAGGCTGTCATCATACAATATAATATAAAAAGTGCAATTTTTTTTTTCAAACATTAACTTGGTTAAAAGTAATACCTTCTGTCTGGGTACTCCTTTATGTCCTAAACCTTTTTACTCTACCAGGTTAACTGTGACAGACAGTGTTGACCTCATCACATATCAATGGACTGACCAGCTGAGAGGTTTGCAGGTGAGGCGCTTCCCGGCTCGTATCGGTGATACTTCCTGCGAGCCTTGTTAGGGGCACGAACAGAGCTGCTGTGTCGTTGGCACTTCTTCACAGTCCAGGGGCGGGACTTCCTTTCTCCTTCCACCAACGCTTCACTGCCACTCATCTTCTTCAGGAAGCGTTTCTCCACATATTTAGACTTGATCCAGGCTTCTTTCTCCTGCCTGCAGGAAAATAATCTCACTCAGAATATTTATTTATAATTGTTTGTTTGTTTGTTTGTTTTACCAAAACTCCACCTTGAACTTGAAGGTCCAGGTTTCTTTGCTCCTAACTCCTCACAGGCTCCCTCATAAATCTGGTTGATTACAGTGTTTCCTAATTCACACATCAGCTACAGGTCAGTGGAAAAACAGAGGACAAAGTGAAAAAAGGAGAAGAGAGAAAGAGAAGGATTGATAAAATAATATTTTAATTTAGAGAATAAAATAAGTTTTAAGTCTGAGACTAGGATGAAGAGTTTTACCTTCAGTAACTCTGGCTCCCATGAGTCTAGAGTCAGGGAGCGAACTTTAGAGAGTTGGACGCCTAAACTCCTACAATGAGAGAAGAAAAACAACTGTTTTATACTGTAAATAGAGAACAAGAAGTAAACTGAACTCACCCTCAGCTCAATCACAAACTCTCAGCGTTGGCGCAGGTACCTGTGGATGCCCGAGCACTCGATGCACAGCAGCACTCCCAGGTTGATGGAGGCCCAGCATGGTGAGCTCTGGCTGCAGTCACAGCACAGCTCATTGCCCGGCAGGCTTTGCACCCTTTGAAGTAGGCTTTCTCCTCCAGCTCTCACCCCTTTATCACCTCTCTCCCCCCTCTCTCTGGGCTCACTGGCAGAGTCGATGCTGCTGGTGGAGGGTGAGGCTGTTCGGTCCAAGCGCTGCACAGCGAAGAGGAATTAGGTCACTCACAATAAAAACACTTCTCAGGACCAATATTTTTTTAAACTTGACTCTGTTCATACCTCGATGTAATAATTGTCAGTGATGTCTTTGTAAGCAGATGCAATGCTCGCTTGAACAGCCTGGATCCAAGCCTGTCGAAGCTTCTCAGACTCTGCTTGCAGCATACAGCTCCTTTAGAACCAGAGGCTGGTTTTAGAATTGCGGCTTTAAATATCACTAAACAGACACATGCATGTATACAAACACACTCAACAAATCTTCAACAAAACCCTGTCCAAACTCTTCCTCTCACAGGGCCGAAACTGAACTACATCTAGGCCTGTTTCGAAAAGATCAATGGCATGCCATTACATTAAAAAAAGTTAAAAAAATTACAAAAATCTAGTTGTATACTTTCATTGTTAATAATAATACTGCCTTTCATGCCATACATTTAAAATTCACTACTTGCATTTAGCTGACATTACTATCCAAAGCGACTTGAGTGAGTAGGTTTAAGTATATGGTTCCACTAGGGCTCGAACCCATGACCTTGTGCATGTAAGGCAGACATGGAAGGCAGTGTTATAACCACTACACAATAGGACCAGAAAGCCGCAAGTAATGCCAACCTTTTTTTTACAACTCCATAACATCTGCCATAAAACCTGTGCCAATTCACCATGTGGACTACTGCTGTGATGACCCGGGTTTAAGAGACAAAGACAAAAGTTTTAGTAGTTTGGTACTAACCCTATACACCAACACACACACTTACTTAGTGGGCGACACCACCTCAAAGCAGAATCTCCTCTCATTATCTTCACAAGGTTTGACCGAGCACAACCTGAGGTCCTCCACGACCACCGTCAGAGCATCCTGATGTTGACAGAGTTTAAAAAGGTGACAGAAAAACATAGTTACCAAAATGGCTGAAAATGCAACACAACAGCACATTTTAACAGCCCAACTGTACCTTCAGTTTCTTTTGGTAAACCAGCTGGCTGTTTTGAATTGAAAACCATCGCCTGAAAAGAGGACATGAAATAAATTTCCTTCCACTTCATCAAATCTTCCGAATGTTGAAATTCTATAGTAGTTAGACTTAAAAATGACTTAACAACATTTTGGAATTAATTTAAGAAGGTTCTTTAGTTCTGGTGGTAAATGGTGAAATCCAGGATTTCTCTGGACTTTTTATTTTAGTTCTCTTCTTTCTTTCATTCACCTGTTCCAGGTTTTAAAGGCGTTGCTGGCCCTCTTAAACAGGTAGCCTTCCATGACCACTCCATTGGGCGCGTCCACGTTAAACTCCAGCCTGGGGTCATCATAGGAAAAGTCCTGTAGGGAGAACATACACTGTTACAGGACGGTTCTCCTTCCAGAGATTCCAAGAAAGATCTCTAACCCAAGTTTTCTTCGTAAACACAAAGTGATGAGTAAAAAAAGAACATCAGGCCTTCTGTTCATGTTACTGTAAAGCAAAAACTTATACTTATAAGTTTAAGTTTAAATCAAATACTACAGATGTGATAGATGTAAGATCTTTAAAACTGCTGGTAGAGTCAACACTAGCTCACAGTCTGATGATGATAGAAATGAGATGTGCAGTCAGAATAACAGACGGGTTCTTAGTTGACAAATGAGATCAGGGAGTAGTGTTTATGGATGATGCAGATGCTGTGCCTACCTGTAAGTGAGATAATGTTTCTAATACACGAAACAACTGAGCTTCTCTGCTAAAAACGTAAAAGAAAGTCCACAAAATCATGTCGTCATGATCTCATCAGTAATGACATCATAACGCGTAGTTCTATCTTTGAACCTGATCTTTGAAAAACACCTATTCTCCCATCTCAAATGTGCTCTGTGTCTTCTCCACCACCAACCAGCTGCTCCTTAGTTTACTTTCACAGGTCACGTAACCCTTTCAGCTGAAACCTCGTGTCTGGAAAATGTACACAAAGCTGGATTTCATCAGGAAGATCTCATCTGGCTGAGACGAATAAAAGAAACACGTGATTTAAATGTCACTCAACGACAAGGTCAGGTTACGGGATTGTTTGAAGGCTTTGGTTTGTGGTAAGGTAATACATGACATATGGCAAACTGCTCTCACTCTCTCTAACACACCCACACACACACACACACACATACACAAACAACACTGAGCTCATTTACAACAAGTTTTTCTCTTTTTTTTGTCATGACATCTGGATAACTGCAATGATAAATAAAAAATATTTGTTATTAGACATAAAGATTATTTTCCTTGAATGGTCAACCAAACATTAAGATTTTTGATGCTGATGCTTATTTTAATTTTTTTAATTTTTATTTTTGGTTCAGATACTTTCTGTCCTACCATTTACATTTTGTTATTTGTTGCAAAATTCTGGTAATTGCATATTTCAGGCAAAGAAATTCACAATATTTTTAGAAAATAGGTGAAGGATGTAGGTTATTTAAGGTACAGAGAGTCACACTATTGTTGGCATTGAATAAAAGACGACTTCTCTTACCAGAAACTGTTCCAGTCTTTCAAAGATCCACATTTTTATCACACAGCCGTCCAATAGCATCTTCAGTTCCGTACTCACAAATAATAACTTAAATTAAATTAATAAATATATAAATAAAATATAACGCGTTAGGATTTTGTCATATTATGGGTTATATTCCGGCTGGCACATACATGTGCGAGCACGCCTGTTTGTGAGCGTGTGTTGGCAGCTCGTGCCTTCACTGGATTCGATGCCACCTGCTGTGTGTGTGGATCATTATCATACAGCTGCTTTAGAGAGGCAGAGAGGGAGAGAGAGAAAGGGAGAGAGGGAGAGAGTTTCATCCCACAGCAGCCTGTGGCCTGAGGCCTCTGTCTCCTCCTCCTTCTCCTCCTCTTAATTTGGCCCTGACCCACACACGATTTAGGACTCCCCTTTAACCTCAGCAGCTCTTCTCAAAGCCACGGTGTTTTCACTCTCTTCCTTTTGCAGATGTCAGCTTTCCATCTGTCTGCTGCTCTCCTCACTGTTCCGGCCTAATCAAGCCCACATTATTGCTCCCCAAACAGCAGCACACGTTGAGGCCGTGCTCCTTCCCACCTTAAATCAGTGGAAGAATGCGGGGGCACCAGTGTCCACTGACAAAAGTGCATGCTTCAAAGTGAGACATTTGCATGAAACAATGTGTTAATGTTAGTCCATCTATTAAAATATGTATAAATGTAAAAAAGTGTTTTGCAAAACACCTAAATCTATATTTTACAGGTAAAAATAATACAATAATAATAATAATAATTATTATTATTATTATTTCTAATTATACAACTTCTTCTTATTATTGAAGCATCCCCTAAAGGTTTTCAGTCAAGATGAAGACAAGACGAAGTTTTGACCTGGTACGGAAAACCAGACATTTCTACAAGGAAGAATTTATCAGATGGATTTTCACCACTTGCAGTGATCCTGTCAGGTTTATGGAGAGGGTGTGTGGAGAAATAGCTTTATATTTAGATTGAAATGTTTTAACATGAATTTGCATTAACACTTTTGACTTTATTTCGGTGGTTTTAGCCAAACAGCAGCAACAATTGGTGGTGGAAGAAGCTGTGGCAACAACCCCCCTGGGGGCCATAATGATGTCTAGCGTAGAGAAGCTGCTGGTGTGAAAGAGTGAAGAGAGGAAGTCTGTGATCAGTGGTGTGGCACAGATCACTTCAACCACAGTGAGGGGGGTCAAGGGAGGTGGAGGGGGAGCATCACAACACATGGTGTCATGTCAAGATATTCAGTTTATGTATTATATACTCGGTCAAATATTAATACTGATTCCAGAAAAGTTACAGATAAAACAACCATTTTGACACAAACAGAGGAATAACTAAGTGGGTTTTCATCTCTTTTTATTACTGTTTAAAAGACTTTGTCCTGTAAATATTCTTTCTGTTCCTGGTATTAGATTAGTAACCCTACTAAAGAGCTGATGTCAGCCTCCACTAGCCAAATACTTGACTTAACTGATGTAAAAATGTTATACAAACACACGCAATTCTACGTGTGTGTACAAGTGCTGGAAAATCAGTTGTGACAGGAAACTATCGTAAAACCACAAAGTATCTGCCCAGGGTAATTAATCTCTCAGAGGATCCATGAACACACACACACACACGCACACGCACGCTCTTATTCTTTGTGGGCCGACCTGTAGTTTCATGTGAACACTAAGAACACAAACTGTCAAGAGCACATTTGCTATTTTAACCAAATATCTATGGTGTGTAAGAAAGAAATAAAAAAATATGACAGAAGCTTGTCATTTAGAGAAAGGTGCTAAAAGTAAGAAACTTTGTGGAGCTCCTCATTAGCATTAGTTTGAGTTCAGGGCCATAAAAACTTTCTACATGGCTTTGATATGTAGTTTAGACCGAGGCCTTGCTTAAAGACAGCAGCCATCTTTATTTGCCATGTCTCCACAGCAGCTTCAATGATCAAAACACGTCAAAGAGTCAGTTATGGTACTGTATGTGACCACAGTCATCAAAACAGAGATGAGTTTTTGCTGTGTGACTTTGTTTAATGGAGAAGAAAAATCTCACCTGCATCAGAGTCTGACGAAGACACAGGGTTTTAAGTCATCGTAAGATGTGGAGAGAAAAAGAAGGAAGAAAAAGCATCATTAACAACAACAGAACTTTAATTAATGAATATCACTACTTGTTACTGTGAAAGGTCACTGCTTGTTGCTTCGGGGTGGTTTGCAGCCATTTTAAAGCCCCGCAGGAAACAGTAGTGGAGTTAAGGTTGCAGACAGACCATTATATAAGGGACAAAACTGTGCTGTGTTTGGCAGAGCGCCTCCAGTTGGCAACTATGCTGATCAAGGAAATTAGCCAAACAGACAGATAAAACAGCCATGTTTGGCATTTGTTTGAGGAACAGATGGATGATTTATTGAAATGAGAGACCTATAATCTTATCTTAACGACTTCGTGGGAATAGGGACAGCGGTGTCACTAAATCACTGTCATTTGTTTTTGTTCTTATCTTTTTTCTTGATAATAAGGTCTTGAAAATAACAAAGAATGAAGGTGAGTCACAGCCTCTGGAACGTAAACATTTAATATTTGTTTTTAATAAATCACTGAGATTAGACTCAACAAATGTGGCTGAAATCTGTCTGGTCACATGGAACTCCAAACATTTGGCTTGTTTTGTTTTTTTTTCAATTTGACATTTTACACGTTTTCTAACTGAGTGAAGAAAGACTGTCAAAACAACACCGCACATTACACTGTGTGTCGATTTCCTTTGACCTAATTCTCTACTTCCTTTACGTTGACACTGACAGAGCTGCATTTTGATCTGACATTGCAGAAAGTATTAGAACACAATAGGTGCACGTGACAAATGAACTTCACCCTCACAGTAGGACTAAGACCCACAGAGGAGAAGGAACAGCTGTGCTCGTGACTCACTCTTTGCTGAATGATGGCATGTTTATGCTCCATGTCCCGCTTCTCCATGGCCGAGTCGATGACCAGCTGATCCAGCTGCACGGAGGAGCAGACAATAGAGTCAGACTTAGGGCTCCACAAAGGAAAAAAGTAAATAAAAAGTGCACGCGCACACACGCACACACACTCACACAAGGTCAAGTGTCATAGTCTGGCAGTAAAGTTGGTTTACGGATATGCAGAGGAAGGGAGGAGAGCTTCGTGGCATGAGCACAGTGTGAGTTACATTATATTTGAAATAACTGTTGAATGTGTGTATGTTTATATAATATAAATGACGCTGCAATGACTTGATCAAATACAGTTTAGCACGGCGTTTGGTGCGCAGTGAAATCACACGCCTGCTTTCATGTTTCTCATCCATTTTTCACATCACTTGTTCTGCCACATTCCTGAAGTGGATATGTTAGATCAACTGAGAGTGGAGGACATTCAAGTCATTGCCATATTCACAATGAATTGGATTTCAATTCAGTGTTAAAGATGTATTTTTAACATATGTTTAACTGCAGTGACTGGCTGCCGTGTCATTGGACGTTTGGATGTGTCCATACAGTAGAATAGGTGTAGCTAATAAAGCAGAAGAAGAATGGATAGAAACAATGCATAGAATAAAATGTTATCATAGTGGACTGTCATGTCCACGTGTTCAGACATGTGATGTGAGCATGACGCTCTGGTCTGGAGGACCTATACCTGAGCAGCCAGTTTTTTCATGTAGGGGTCAATCTCATCCAGGATGTTGAAACCCTGCTGGAACAGTGTGTACTGGGCTCTCATGAAGGACAACATCTGCAGCGAACATAGACTCAGAGTGAGAACGGTCACACTGTAACACACACGTATATAATAATGTATAATAATACACGTAGGACACAGGTCTACTGTGGAGGTACTCACTGCATCCAGAATCTCAAACTTCTTTTTAGCCTGAAGAACATTAATCTGCACAAAAAAGGAAACAATGTAGATTACAATTCATTTCAATTTCAGACTAGCATTAGAGTTATTGGTAGTTTGGTTGGCTTGCATTCATGAGACATGACAAAGAAGCCAAATCATTGGCTTCAGCACCACCTACTGGGCAGTAGTGGAAACACTGATTTTTTATCAGATGAGGGTCAAGAAGAGCAGAAAATGAACACAAGGTCCAGTGTGGCCTTTTGAACAGCTTCATATTAATTTATAATCATTTTGATTTTTAAGAAGACAGTAACAAGATCATATTGATAATATTTTAACATGTACTGAGAAACTGATGATTTGTCTGTTGCTACTGTATATTTTTTTCTGTCATCATGGCTGGATGTGCAGTTTGTGTGGATGTTTTGTCCTTTCTCACCTGCAGTACATAGTCCAGAGCTAGGTGCCTAAAGGCCTTGCGACTGAGGATGAGAGCCTGTGTTGCCTCCTCCGCCTCGTGGACTTTGTTCCTAGGCGCCTGGGCGTTCTTCACCTGGGCCAGCTCCATGTCCTCTCGAACCCGGTCAAACTGCTTCTTAGTGTCCTTAAATTTACGAATATCCCTGAAGTAAAATAAAAGACAGGGGGTTAAGAGGTATTTTATGCATCATGTAGAATAAATAAAGTTTATTTATTTGAAATGTTTAATCTGTAAACTAAATTTTCAAAGCTCATTAAATATCTAAGTTCTAAACACATAAACTAAATGACAGTTCACTAAACACAAAAAAATCTTTAGTTTGGTTGTTCACGTTTTTGAATACAGTTTAAAACATTATGAAATGTTACAGGAAGTCAGAATACATCTGCTGTGACCTCTTAACCCCTGACCAGCACTGCTTTAGAAACTGCATCTGAAGATAGTCCAGTTTTCTCCAGTTCTTGGTCCAGTACCAAGTGACTACATGGGTTTTACAGCAGGGATATCTCTTTTGCTTTTTAGTAGTAGTAGTAATAGTAGTAGTCACATGCCTATTCTGATATTTGAATATATCCTATGCATCTGTTTCAAAGGTATGACGTTTCACGGAGGTACGTACTCTTTGATGAAGGTGTGAAGCTGCTGCTTGATCGCCCGCTGAGCCTGGTCGAAGAGAATCTGTGAACAGAGTATATCAGAGACACAATGTAATAAGAACACGAAGCAAAGCAGATTAATTAGTTGAAGTTATTACGTAAATTCCGTAGTAGCTCAATTTTACCACAAGAGGGCAACATTTTTCACTTTCACTATCAGTGTAGCTATCAGCGCAACAGATTTGGCCAGAGGATAAAACACACACACGTGCACACACTCAGCTGCTGCCTCGACAGATTTTTAGCCTCACAGGATGCCAGACTTCTTTTCCTGTCAACTGAATCCCATTCGTCCTCTCCCCCTCTTCCCCCCCATGCTCCCCTTCTGCCCCTTGATCTGCTCCTTCTTCTCTGTGGGTATTCCTGTGCACAATAGGTATCACTTCTGTACCATTTAGACATGCATTTGTACTGCATTTGAATTTTTTCTGACCACACATAACAAAAACCTGGCCACGTGCAAGGAACAGAATGACTTTGTTGCCTGAANNNGAGCGATAGAGAGAGAGACAGAAGAGAGAGAGAGAGAGAGAGAGAGAGAGAGAGAGAAGTGCACTTGGATTACACCATGATTTTACATCGTATATAAAAACCCAGCCTCCAGATTAAAAAGTCTATAAAATACCCGGTTTTTCAATATAGACCAACTACACTCTCTTTGTGTGTATATGTGTTTGTGTGTGTGTGTGTGTGAGAGAGCCTCCACCCATATGACGTTCATGTAGAACATGATGACATCACTGGTTTGGGTTTTGCTGTGTCGTTTTATCCAATAACTGCTGTAAGGAGTGTTAAAAATAAAAGTACAACCTCTCCTCGGTCAGACACAGTTGATGACTGTTTCCTAAAGGTCACTTCACTGACATGTTTATGTCACCACACTGCTGCATCAGTAGGTCCTTCGAACTCTAACAGTGATGCTCCATATAAAAGGATTTTTCTGTTTATCACCGGAATGTCCCCCTCTTGTGCTGAGCAGATCAAATTTTTGGGACTTTCCAGGATGGTAAAATATATCCAACCATGTCTGTCCCTCATTTAAAAACAGAAATCACTTATAGCTGATAAATATTGCACTCACATGTGCAATAATCTAAATGTCCGACCTGAATCTGTTTTAGATTATTGTTCAGAGTTATCCAACCAAAAAAAGAGACATTTTCATGAATTAATACTACATTTGGAATATATTTAATTTTCAACATTCGGACCATTTAAATGATGGCAGTACAGATGATGCAGTGTATGAAGTTTACAGTAGAGTCAGGGGAGATTTTGGGCCCCATGAAAACAAATCCCAACCCTAACACAGCCAACCAGAAGATGCTGTTTTATATAAAACGCTGACTAATATTCCCATTTAATGAAAAAAATAAATTTTTATGTCAGTTTTATACTTTCTTTGGGCCCTTCTTAATGATGGGTCCCTAGAACTTTAGGATGGTCCAGTCAACACTTGAGGAAGATGGCCTCCCGTCCTTTTTTCCACTTAGTCACACTGCCTGTGATTGGCTCTTTGGCTTCTTCATTTGTGACTGTTAATAAAAGTATTTGAAATCTGTGCTCTCCTGTGGTTTCAAGTCTGACAGCGTCTCCCACTGTCCACATGCTCCAGTTGGATATTGGGCATTTGAAGGAATTAATGTGGTGTACATTTATAATGCTGGGTCATTTTGGCTGGAGTCTGATCATTGGCTGTAGTCACTGCCTCACAACAGGGTTCTAACAGATTTGAATGACGAATCCCAGCAATACCCATTTGAACCCATTTCAATGTAATTATGACTCTGCTCAGACTTGTGGATGGATTACGCAGACATAGTTGACTGATAGGAAATTTATTTCCATTTCAATGCCTCCTTTAATCCCTGATGAGAAGGTGCAGAAATATGCATCAGTCAGTGTGCGCACGAAAATAAACCCAATTTCTCTCTATCCTTTCTCTTCTTTCTCTAAATTTGCCCATTTTCACAGTCTAATTCCTCGGTCTTAGAGAGGAAGAGGGGGGCACCTGTGCTGAAGGTTAAGTGAAGGGTAAGAAAGGAGGGAGCAGGGCAAGAAGAGCATTTTTACAATTTCTAATTTGTCAATTTTAGAAAGTGTTAAAGCGACCAGTTTTGTCCTTAGAATCCTTATTCTTAGAAAAAATACAAACTCAAAGCTGCTGTTGCCATACCACGATCCTTATGTTGTAGATTTTGCTAATTGATAAAATACAACCTTTTTAAACCCGACCTTAGTTTGTCATGAACTCCCTGAACCAGCATCTAATTTTATCAGTTTGTTTTTCTAGCTCTCATTAAGTTATGTGCTTGTCATCGGGTTCTCACCCAGTGACCCAAATTACACAGTGCAGGAGCAGACTTCATGATGCAGATGGAAATATAACAGCCTGCAAGATCAGTGTACCGTCAAAATGATTCAGAGGGAAATTTTTATCGATAAAAAACTTGTTGCTCACTGTCGCTTTAGAGTACTTTAATATTTACCCTCTAGATACATTAATGATCAATATTCTAGACATTTTGCCTTTTGACCTATGCAGAAATCACCTTGACAGATTTATAGGGTGTAAAATTGTATAATTAGTCTGGGGCATAAGAAAAGTGACTTCACTCCAGGTTTGATTGAGACAACATGTGCTTTGAGTCAGACATGCCTGTTTATGCTGACAACTGTGAGATTCACCATCGCAGATGAGGTCACGGTGAGGTCTAAGACTAAACCTTGAAGGGTTCGACACATACGGACCTACATGTGGCCCATCCTTGGCAGTGTTTTGTTTTACAAACATGTATTTTGTTTATGTTTGAGAACATATGAGTGTAAGAACAGTCTACGAGAACATACGTTTTCATACTGGCTAAAAACCACTCAAAATTTAATTTTCAAAATTTAAAATTTACATTTTTATTAATGATAAAAGCAGGGGGATCAAACCCCTGACCCTCTGGCTGATAGACTTAAACACCGTGTAGTGAGAGAAGAACTTACTGTGTGGTAGTTGACAATTTCCTGCAGTCTTTCACCGCACTTTTCAAGGCATTCCTATAAAGTGGACAAAACACACATGGACAAACACCCATTATAAATAAGTCACAGTTTTAAGACTCAACAGTTCACTGTGTGTCTGTGTTGTTGCTGCTGCCAGGCTGATACTGTCAGGAAACCAAGTCCAAATGTTTTCCTGAAGGAAAACCATAAAGCATGTGTCAGATCTCGCTGCTTCTACCCGTGTGAGTCCTCTGTGTAAACACCTCCTGCCTACATGTGGTCACGTCTCTCAAAATCTGAAAAAAAATCCAGAGGACTCTGGGCCTGGACAATACTGTTTACACTGAGCTTCTCTTTATTATTCCTGAGGGGAATGCACTGGAATGCATGAGAGGCAACTTGCTTAGAGGTTGACCACTAAACATTTCTTTGGGGTGGGGGTTTGGGGGGGGGTGTTAGGAAGGGTGGACGGATGTTCTGTCAGAGTTCAGCCATGTCATTTCAACTCACTGATATAATCTCCTCTTTCTTGCATTGGTGGGACAGGTCCTTGACGCCATTAACAAAGAGCTTGTTGGCGCTGACGTAGGCCCGGCCCGCCTCGATCATCCCGCTGCACAGCTTCACCAGCTAGCAAGGAGGAAAAGGACACATTGGTTTAAAATTCAAGTCAAGTCAGAGGGTTATTTAACAAAATGAAATGTGCGTCCAGAATTTAGAAGGAAAAACAGTGTTTCCCAAATTTAAAATGTTTCAGTCAATTTTTGCAACCTGCAAAAAAGAAACTGTTCTTCTGTTTTGTTCAGAAAAGCAACGGGTCATAGCCCAAGGTGACATAGCTACGGATATTAGCATATAATGTAAGTAAGAGCAGACACACGTGGCAGAGACCGCTCTGTAAAAACACACACAGTACAACCAGGTGCAGAGGGTTCACTGCAGAAGAATCTGCTCTTTTAAACACGATCCAGCCACATAAACTGGCAACCATTACACTTTCCCACTTTGTAGGGAATATGATAAGCTGCAGCGTGGTACACTGTCATTACTGCTGTCCTGACCCAGCTGTGTATACAGCAGAATCAGGAGATGTGTGTGGGTGAAGGGTAGAGTAGTGGGAGTATGAGTGGCTGGTGGTGGTGGTGGTCGTGGTGGTGGTGGAGGGTGTTGTGGCAGCAGAAGCGTGAGGGCTATAAACCTTTAATTATTTCATTTAGTGCCGAAGTTCCCAAGGTTGTTGCCATGTGACTGTGCTGTGATGAGAGGCCGACTGTAGGACCTTCATACTGCACGGACCACAGATGACAAACCAGACCAGAAATAACACAATAAGGCCAAGAACCGTGAATAGACATAATGTATATGAAGAAACAGGCTCTATATATTTAAAAAAAATCCAACCATCCATCCATCCACCCATCCATTCACCCATTCATCCATCCAAACTTTCATCCATCCATCCATCCATCCACCATCACATTAGTACCTATGGTCATTTCAGACTGTCTGCTCAACCTAATCCCCCACTCAGCATCTTTTGGTCTCATTATATGACCTTTGTGACCTGGATGAACAAAAACACATTGTGTGTTTACGGTTACGCAGCACACAGGGTTTGTGTATCTCCTTCTGTGGACACAGTTGACACGGTTATGAATCCGGTAAACAGCATTAGGCCAAGGCTGCTGCTTCCTGCCTGGTCTGGCAACATATCTGTTAACAATTGGCTAATCGAGGGATAATGATCTCATGGTGGCCGTACGTTAGTAAGTCCTGAGGGCCTGAACACAGCCATTATACCGGCACTGTCTGTGTATCTGTCAGAGATAGTTGAGTAATGGAGTGGAAGCACACATGGGCCTCCTCTGCCTCAGTCCATCACCTCTGGCACCACATGACTGAGCTGACTGTGATAATTGATGATAAAAGACATTGCTGATGGGTAATAGCCGTGAGTTCCACTTTCACCAAAACTGTCTGGGGTTGTCTAACAACAGAAGACCAGTTTTTGGGGTTCTGGTTCATTTCAGAGAAACCTGGGTCTGGATAATTTATTGGTTAACTGGATAATTAACAAAGGTGGGGCTGTACATCGTGGTCTTATTTTTATTTGACTTATGACACAGTACAAAACTAGGTTTCACAGCATTTCAGCACCTGCACAAATTAGAATGGATTTTGACATTTATTTCTCAACTGTATTAATGTAAATTGCCAAATATATTCTATGAATAAAATTAAAAGAAAAATATAATATGTATATATAACATTTTCAGAAACCTCTACCACATGAGAACAGACACTGCGTCGCTGCAGGCTGGTCCATTAATGTCATTTTTCTCAACACACACCTTTTAGTGTTCACCCTCACTGCTGTGAAACCATTCCTCAGGCTGCTTCAAAGCATTTTCACAGGCGAGTGTGAGGACCCCTGGTGAACAGAACAAATCACCCTGATTGAAACCTCTCTCTCTATGGCGCCCTGCAGTGATTTTTATGGGGCCTTCCATTGGAGGTTAGAGGTCAATTGAATGTCCTGAGCTCTCGGTGGCAGAAAAAAAAATCACTAGATGTTTTTGTGTGTGTTTTTTGTGTTCGATGGGTCACATGCAGATTTGATGGAGACGTCACAGTGTTGTGGGGGCAGAATGGACAGTAAGATGGCGGAATAAAAAGGTGAGAAAATGTCACGATCATGACAACATCCTGTTTAGACATATGAGCAGTTTGTATTTTTTCAAGATAATGTGGTTTTTATTATACACAAGATGAACACTTGTGAGTCATCATCTGCCCAACAGGAAGTCTTACACCATGTACGCCTTTACACAGGAGAACAGGAGGGAGAAAATGTTAAAGGATGCGGTCACTGCTCCATCGACTCCTTCACATCCTGTCAACGATGTCTGACTGAAGTCTATTAGTTTAACTGAAAAGGCATTATCTCATTTGTGGATTCCTCCCAGGGACAGTTGGCTATTGTTGCTGCAGCGTCTTCACACTTGAGAGACCGCTTTGTAAGTGATGCTATCTGACAAAACTGAACAGAAATGTGTTCTCATGATGTGTTGTTTAGGGCTACACAAGTGAACAAACCTGAAGAAAACAACAGCAGCAACAGGGATTTGTTTTTATTTACCTTCTACAGGATATCGTGACCCATACCCATAAAACACAAGTTACAGTAAATGATCAAAAAGGGGGATTGCATTTTTTTATTGGTCTTTGCTCTCTTTCAGGTCTCTGTATCAGTCTTTTTGTCCTTTTGCCAGTTAAATTATGGTTCAAGTAAATATCAGCTGTGCTTTAAAGTTTTATTCAGTGCTATACTACGTGAACAAAAACTATGAAAGCCATTAACTGATATTACAATTAAAGTAAAAAGCTTGGCCTGACCTACAGTCATTACATCAGATGATTGATGATTCTGATGTTTTGCACAACAATCACCTACCGCTGTGGCCCTCATATGTGACTCTCAGTGTGCGAGTTAATAACTTACGTTGCCAGTGTTCTGATTAATACATTGGTTATTTAATTTGACTAATTAAATAACCTTGACATTTAACTGGGAGAGAGAAGAGAACAGCAGTGAAGCCACTAGACTACTTGTTTGTCAGAAAGATGATCTTCTTGTCGTCAGAGTCTATTATTCTGCTTCCATACGCTGAGCGTTGAGGTGAGACTCACTGTTCCCAGATATATGCAGTCCCATCATTACATGTGACCTATTCTGACTCACTGGGCTTTTAACAAGCAAAACAATGTGCAGCATGAGTCATACCTTATCGAGCTTCGCCTCGATCTCCACCACATCTGTCTCCACCTCATCAATGCCGGCCCTGCAGAGAAAGGACAAAGTAATAAAGTGAATGAATTGGTATTCCACATAAGTAGAAAAATGTTGTTAGGCACTGATATACAGTAGCTCGTAAAGCCTCCCCGGTTTTATCTGTGAAAGTAGCAGCAAGGAATAATAAAATGAGAGTTTTTGAAATCGGATTTTATTCACAAAAAAAGTGAGAAATAAAAGCATCATTTAAAATAAATCCACTGAAAGCATCAGCTGTAGCAATGATGCAGACTGTACAAAAAAACATTAGCAGCACCGTCCTCGCCCATTACACTGTGTGTGATTTATCCCCCATTGCCATTCAGGCTGCAATCAATCTCCACAGATGCACATCCGTCCTCATGACTGGATTGACAAACGCATCGCTCTGAAAGATTAGTCGCCACGGCTGAGCTGCAAAATCAATAAATGACATCATGCAGAGACACGGACTGTTGCTTAGGTAGGAGATAAATACAGTGCGTAGAAGCAGCAACAGCCACTCGGCATCCTCAGGTGCTTAAACATTTTATTTAAATATAATGATGCAGAACACATAGGAGTGCTGTCAAATGTCTTACTTAACATTTCAAATATGCGTCAGTAGATTTGATGGCTTTTAAAGGACAGGAAGTCGAACCAGTTTCTGCTCCGTGCAGTGTCTTCAGTTCTGTCCATGCACACGTACGTGCAGAGACGATCAGGACAACATTTAAAGGGTCAGTTGTTATGGCAACTCCTCTGCGTGTGGGACACAAAGGTTGACTCAGTACATCAAATTGATTTTGTTTTCACTCATGTAACAAATGTTTTATAGTGGACTGTCTCACCGCTATAAATATTGTAGAGAACCATGTCTCACATGTCACAATGTTTTAGGGAATAGACATGATCTAGAACAATATAACTGAATGTCTGGAATGGGGGAGGGCTTAAGCAAATATTTAAAAATAAACAAATCCTTAGTTTGGACTTTTATGTCCATGTCTAATATACCTTATGTCATATTGTGGCTTAAGTACATTTTAGCAAAATAAAAAAGAGAAGAGAAGGTAAAGTTAGTCAGATATAGTAGGCTGTAAAGAAACATTAAATAAATTGTCAAACCATAAAGAAAAAGGCTTTCCAATTGGAAAATAAATACAAAACATGGCAGTAATACACTTGAAAGTTGGGCAACATTAGTTTTGGTCTTGACAAAAAAGATTTAATGACAAAAAAAAATCAGCTGTACTTTTCACCCTAAGTTGTTGCAAGAGTGTAGCAATAAAAATGTTGTGTTTTACAAGTACAATTGCCATTGTTTCAAAGGGAGTCTGTGGGTCAACATCTCCATCTGTTCAATCCATTATTTAAACTACAATATAACAAAGTAAATGTGTGATCATTAGTTCTAGAGAGGTCTCTCTTCACTCACACTTCTTCTGATGAATTCATTTAAACAGGATCAGCTGGAGTTTACCGGGGCAGCAGAGTGGAGCCAGGAACAGGAGTCACACCCTAAATCTGCTGGAACATGTCAACCATAACCCCCCAAAAAACCTGGTAGATGATGACCTCATCACATACTGTCAGCTAAACCACACCCTTGTTTCCAGCTCTTATTCTCATAAAACCACCCTCACAGCTGATCCGTGCAGACAAGAGCAGATCAGCTGCTGAGTGACACCACATGCTTTTTCTATCTTCTTTTTTTTTTTTTTACAGTTGCTGCTTTAGCAAAATGGCATGTACATGGTGGGTTCAGCATTTTACCACATGTTCTGAGCATTTTAAATTGTAGTGGAGAGAACACACTGTTTATAAAGCTGATGTCTGATGTTTCAGAGACAACGAGATCTGGAAAAACAGACGTGACGAGAGAAAACAGTCAGTCATCCACTGTGTCTCTCTGCTAAAACAATACCAGCAGCTATGTAGGCCAATCTGATATATTGGATTAGAGCTCCTCATGTGGTGCATCTCAATTGAACCATTAGTGGCATTTACACGCACGCACACACAAACACACTCAGAATGAACAAGCATCATTTTTTAAAAACTGAACCAGGCACGTTCAATGTCACACAGATGTTTAAATGATCATAAGCTCCGTTAACACAAGAATTTCCCCAGTTTGGGATCAATAAAGGTAATTTAATTAACTAACTTTATAATAACTTTATTCTTTTTTTAACCAAGGTTATTATTAATGCAATTTTTGTTTTTTGTAAAAATGTACCTTTTTTATTGCAGGTCTAGTGCTCAGCTTCGTTATTAGTGTACTGCATTGGAGTACTACAGAGTAGAACTGTTCTTTGGAGATCTGCCTTCAAATATTTTGTAAAAAATAAAATCCCAAACCTGAGCTAACCCTTAAATAAACCTGACATTCCTTCTTCTTCTTCTTTAGATCTTAAAGGCAGCCCTGCATTATTTGTGATGTTTCTGGTGTGAAAACATTAATACTTTATAATTCTCCAGAATATATTTTGGCAACATCCAACTCCCTAATAACATATACAGGTGTTTTTGCAGCCATCTCTGCCAACGTCTTCATTGACTTCAATCAAAACAAAAGAACTACTTGTGCTTCACGATGTGTACTCGTCCCTATTTATCCTTCTGAATGTCTCCTGCGGTGCAGAGTATTCATCTACACATTTTCCATGGATAAATACACCAGGGAGTTATGAAAGATTGAAGTGAAATGGAGTACGATTGACTCCACAGCCGGATCATGGATGATGCCTCGAGGTCCAACGGCTGTGTAAAGACGCCAAGATGTAACGTTGTATGTGACTGTTCAGACTGGTGTCACCAGTGTCACCCTGTGAGTCGTTCATGAATGAACAGACTCCGTGCAGTTGTTCCGATGATGAAGATTTAGAGATGATGATGATGTTTGGTGCCTGCAGCAGCATACTGTATACAGAGTCTGACATCATCCTCAGTAAGGCAGTGGGGGAGGCAGGAGGGGGGAGGGGATTTTCACGTGCACTTGCTCCACGTGTTTTCCCATAAGCCTAGCTATCCATCAACACGAGGGCACGGACACTATTCTGGTCCTCCACGTTGTGTGTACTCCAGTGTGAAGCTTGCGTGGCTTTCCAGACCTAAGTCCTCACGCAAGGGAAAAGTGCACAAAGCACACACACACACACACACACACACACATACATACGCACAAAGCAGGGCTAGCAGCTCAGAGACACGTATGAGACCCCTTGGCTCACAGACTCATTGTGTCAAAGAACATCACACTCACATCAGCAGAGCTTCAGACCACAGGCTTTAGTGCAGAGGAAACAACAAAGTCCTCTGATGACGAACAAGAGCTAACCTGGGACTGGAAGGCCAAGATCAGATCACAGCTGTGTTTGGCCACAGTTTCCACGGTAACCACACCTGTAAAGGCCATATGTTATATGTCATCTCATAAATAGATAGATAAAAATAGATAGATAGATCGATGGATGGATGGATGGATAGATAGAACTTTATTATTCCCTCAGAAGTTCCCTTTGGGAAATTTAGGATTTATGATGTCGATAGTCAAAGTTGAGGCTTCTCAAAGAAATCCATGGGTTTTATTATCATCTCATCATTAGTGGAATCACTGACTGGATTCACTGCGGACATTCAGTCTAGCTTTTTCAACCCATTTGAAGATTTGATACATTTTCAAACACAGACTCTGTCATTAATAATGTAGTTACTGTACGTTTTCATCTGACTTCACTGATGAGTCCAGACTGCACACACGTCTGTACACACAAAAATATCCCCTTACCAGAATACAGAGTCGCAGCTCCATGGCAACCATTCATTGACCCCAATCACCATAGCAACAGGCGACAGCATCCGCCTTTTTTTTCACTGACCAATTTCCTCTTTGTCTGTCTGATGTGTCTGTCTTCGTCCATGTCTCTAACAGTTTCCTATGACACACCCTTTTGCAACATCATTGGCTAAAATACAGAACTATGTATTTATATTATTTATAGGTCATAGTTCAACTTTATGAGTAATTTGCAAATACCTTCAAGCTACGAAAAACCCCACAGTCACCTTTTTATTAAATAACACAAAAATAAGACCTGTGTAAATCTCGTCCTTGCTGATGGACTGTAGACTAAACATCAAATTAGCTACAGCATTCTGTATAATTTCCTTTGTCTGACAGTAAGCAGAAGTAGGTGGTTTTGGGGAGGGGAAAGTAACTGCAGCCCATCCCTTTTTCTTTGTTCTTCCCAGTCCTCATCCAAACAGTGTCTGCACAAAAACCAGTTTTAGTTGACTCCAAACAAAGGTTTACTGCTTTTTCACTGATCCGTCTGCATCTTCAAAGGGTGCCCTGAGGTTGTTCTGCAGGTTTTGTGCAGGATTTTTCTCCACACATTTGACTTTGCTTTTTGTTTTATTTGTGACCGACTCCATCTGCGCTGCCTGTCTGATGTTAGTCTCAGCATATGTGTGTGTTTGTGTGTGTGAGTGTTAGACGCAGGGATGTGAAATAGCACATCGTATTTAATATAATAAAAAAATCTATTTATGTGTCTAGGTATGAATTTTATATTTGATCAGTAAAAATGTTCAAGGTTTACTTAATAAAACTAAAATACATCAAACAAAAAAACCTAAAATAATACTTGAAGCAAATCACTTTTAAATGATTTTCGACCAATTTAAGTTTTAAGAGAGTTCTGTGTTTGTTACCATGTTCCCAATAATCGCTGACTAATGATCTGTCACCGCATCACTGGGCTACTTTTCAGTTTCAGAAGCTGAGGCTCAGGACACAAGTGAGCGGGCAGTTAGTAAACCCGTGAAGCTGAGGCTCAGGACACAAGTGAGCCCTGTCCTTTTTGTCTGCATCCTGTTTGGTTTCTTTGTCTCTGCAGCCATCAGTGCTGTCAAA